TATCTAAATAGGAAATTCTTCAAATGTCACTGCTAATTAGGCTATAACAATATTATCACTATTTGTCACTCTTTACACATCTTAATCATAGAACATATGCAGGTCATTATTTGTGGCATAACCACTCCAGTATGATGCCATAAAAATAAATCTGTTATACAAAATATTTTTTTATTATTTTTTTCTCCTATCAAAAGTAAAAATGTAACATTCAAAGAACATATATTTTATTTTATATCTTATTAAAATAATCTGCTTCTGGTATCATCTATGTTTCTGGTGAGTGTAACTAAAAATTATTAGAAAAATATATTAGAACGATACATTGGTAAAAACTAACATGTTATAACTTACAAATGTAAAAAAAAACTAACCACTTTAGCTATGTCGACCCAATCTAATGCTGCCACAAAAGTATCATTCTTAGATGGTATTTTATCATAATTCCAATACATTAACTGTGAAAAAGTTCCTGTGCAATACAAATTCCTGTCCTTATTTTCTGTTTCTGTCTTTTTATTTTCCATAAACATGATGCCTCTGAATCCAGCAGGTACAGTTATTTTTTTTCCTTGAAGCGGATAGCCACGAAAGGAACAATCATAATCTTTAAATAATCAAAAGATAAATTAATATCATAAATTAACCTTAAATTCTCTTTAACTTTTTGATTTGTTTGTTGCTTCAATTATTATATTCATTTAACGTGTTACGTAAATTGAAAGTTAAACACAAAATAATAGATAAAAAAATGTAATAAAATTTTACGTCTAGTTTTACAGATTTATTTGTTTTTTAATATTGTCTATACTTTTAATATTGTTTGTACACATATGCGATACTGAGAAAATTCTTTTCAACTTTCATTCACTCACATTCTTCATCTAGCTTACGAATGTAAGGCTTGAAAAAGGATGAAACATTCGCAGCTTCGTCTCCATGAATTTTACATGGCATAAAATGTAACTCGGACTCGTCTCGATTAACTAAATCTTTCTCATTAATGTGTAATCGTGTGACCATGTTAATTTAATACTATGTGAAGTAATAATTGTTTAACTTCGAAAAGTTTTGATGAACCTTTATTCTGTATGTATACATACAAACTAACCAATAATATTATGCTTATTATCATACCTGTTCTTTTTAGCAGAACTTTTTGCACAGTTCATTTTTCTTCCTTTTCTCTCCACGTTGGAGAGAAAAAGAGAAAAAGTAAACCGTGCAAGAATTTTAGGTTAAAGAACAGAACTCCATGACTTGGTGCCATCGTGAAAAAATCATTTTTTCAAATGATATTTCTAAAGTTACTAGATTTTGAAGGTAAGATTTCAAAAATTACTAGGAGAAGGTTCGAAGTATGAGGATACAAAATTACTTTTCATTCAATTTATGTAATTCTAATGTAATTTTTAACAAAAAAAAAATCTTAAAAAAAATCTTAAAAGGAATATTAAAAGGGATATTATTATGTATAATTCATGTACAGAAATATTTCGTATATTGGGAATTTTGTATGTATTATGCTTGCAAGTACATACATAATATTATTCATTTCATACATTTTGATACATATAATGTGCGATTCAATACAAAATTCAAATGATTTAATTTACAGTCTTCATATTTCGCGTTATAAATTAATTTTAATCCGCTACTTTTGATAAACGAACAAACAACTATAATATGTATATTTACATAATTACTATACTTTCGATTTGCATAGGAAACAGTAATTATATTTACATATATCTAAATCGAATGATGAAATTAAAAACTCAATATAAAAGTAGCGTTCTATATACGAAAGAGATAAATAATATAATAATTCTATCTTAATGCAATATTATAATTTCGAGTTAGCTAGCTGAAATTTAAAAATAACATGATTCAACAACATTATTACAAATATTCCGAACTTAAAGATTATTTTAAGACCAAAGTTATGTGCGTGAGTATATTATAAGCGTAAGTGATGAGCTAATTAAAATAATTACTATAATTATTTTAATATCATAACTTTATCTTTTTGTGAGAAACTTCTGCTAGCGTTAAAAATATACGCAAAGTGACATCTTCAGTATTGATCTCTGCCTCTACTGTAGCCGCCACGTTGATAACTATTCGAACCAGAATTATTGGCACCTTGATTCCATCCACCTTGAACTCTGCCTCCTCCCCTTCCTCCTCCGCTTTCCCTCCTGTCCTGATAATAGTTCCCACCGCCTCGATTGTCACCTCCATACGAGTCTCTCTGGCCGGAATATTGCGGCTGTTGATAATTCTGATTCTGACCGTAACTTTGACCATAATTTTGATTGTAGTTCGTGCCGGAATCCCCACGATAAGATCCACCTCCACCACTGCTACCACCACCTCTCTGATATCCTCCTGCATCTCTATGATCCGGATAACATTCTCTATGTCCATGTCCGGAATATTGCTGTTGATAATTCAAGTTCTGGCCAAAGTTACTACTAGCATCTTTATGATCTCGATAGCCGCCACCACCGCCACCTCCTCCACCTCTACCGCCTCCACCACCTCTACCACCTCCGCGTCCTCTATCTCCACCTCCACGTCCTCTATCTCCACCGCCGCCACCGCGTCCACCTCCACCTCCTCCTCTTCCGCCTCTGAAAAAAAAAAAAAAAAATATGTATATACATGCATATATACTATCTCATTTCATTATCTTTTGATTATAATCCCAGTCCTTTTACTCTTTAATTTTTTTGGAGCGGAATCTCACTATAAGGAGTGAAAAATTGAGCCAATCTTGAAAAAATGGCTTAATTTTCAATCTTTAAGAATGAGAGATTTTACTCTTCAGAGTGAGATACACTCTAAAATTTTTAGAGAATATATTATTTTATTAACTTACTGAAATGATGGCGGTCCTTGAACTCTATCCTTCTGCCATGGTGGCATCTCTGGTGGAGGTGGCTCTTGTTCGTATGGTCTACCACCTCTATCCGGAACTGCTCCAATAATAACGCTGTTGATTTTACTTCGTGTGTTCTTGCGAACACTTGCGTTACTTGTTTTCTCAATTATTGCTAAATCGTCTCTAGCTGCTAATAAATCGGCCAATGTCACTTTTGGTTCATTTTTCAAAGTCTTTCTTTTCTTGTCGTATCTATTGTTTACTTCAGTCTCTTGTGATTTTATTCTATCAGACCACTAAGTGAAATTGCACAATTTTTAATGAATGATCATCGAATATATTGGTCTGTATGTGTAAATAAGTATTTTTAAATTTGTTCTTACCAAAAATGATTGAACTGTAACGTCAAGACGTTTGAGCAACATCTCACGTCGAACTATATATTCCTTGTGCATTTCTTCTTGTAACTGACCTAGTTTCTCCCACTGTTTAGCAGAAAGCTCGACATCTATAAATGGTTTATCTAAATGATTAGGTGGTACAGTCTTTAAAACTTCTGATAATTTAGTTTCTAGCCGTGAAAACAATAAGTCAGGCGAAATATTGTCTGGTGGCTTTTGAAACTTCAGTATTACCAACATATTTTTCAAAGTTCTTGCAGTGTCACTTTCATCCTGTACAAAACATAAAGTATATCATTAAATCAGTATATTTTATTAAAATCTTTTGCAATGTCAGTATAAAAAAACGCAATTAAAATACTACACAATTTAAAACTGCTTACAATAGTGACTTCTATTTGCTTCTCTTCTTTAGGACATTTCACCTCCAATAATTTACAAGCCATAAGCTCTGTTGTTAAAAATTCTATAAGTATAGCTCTTTCAGATTCATTAGCTAGTCTTTGATTCATATGTCCAGTCATCAGTTTCTCATTTATACATCCTATTTCTTTAAGAAAGAAGCTTAATTCTAAGAGAAAGGAACTAGCATCGTCCGAGCTTGTTGTAGCATGAACAGTTTCATCTATATCTACAAACGTCGCCAGTTGCTCGGCAAACCAGCTTACGAGACTAGTATAATCCGGCGATTTTGCGCCAAGTTTTAAGGCATTCAACAGTTTGTTAGCATCAAGCATTGGCCCAGTATATCTAAGATCATTAAAAATTCATTCTTTCATAAAAAAATATAAAAGGTGCGATTACATTATAATAATAAAAATGCTTTAACCTAAAGCATTTTTATTATTATAATGTAGTCTATCTAAGGCTTCAATTCTTTTCAAGTCCGGATAAATCCTTCGTGAAATAATCCAATTACTTACCCAACATCTTGGAGCATCTGTAACAGTTTGTCCTCCATTTCAACCGTCTTTCGATTTCAGATATTACGGAGGATTTCAGATATTACGGAGGATTTCAGATATTACGGAGTAAGATATGCAATAATATATCGTGTACGTATTATCTAGAAATTAATGCAGATACAAGCTATGCTTGAAACGTTTCACTGCCTTGAACTCCTCCAGTTCCTCTACGTCGATATATTCAATGCACAGAACCGGGTACCGGTTATGGCACTGACATAGATCAAATTGCACAATAAGAAGAAATCAAAGAAACAGCTCGGAGACCAATACAACCTGTTTTCAACGCTACGTTTCCTTAGGTTCCGATCATAGAATGGAGCTATAAGTAAAGCTAGTGGAGCACAGACAAATGTCAAAGTATATTTCGTCGATTTTGGAGAATTTAAATTTCCGCAGTGCAAAATCCGAATTGCAATTCTTTGAAATTAAAGAAATTCTTCAAAAATTTCAATAATGTCTCAACTATATTCTCCTTATATTTTATTGATTTTCAAGATCCTTGATTTTCTCGGTTTCGAAATCTTGGTGAATCAACTTACCCGTTTTCCGTAAGAACAGTAAATTGATTGGCGGAACACCGCGTATTTTTTTTATCTCACGATAAGTTTCCTCGTTTTACATACGGAAGCCATAAAGATCGCGTCGGCCACCATTTCAGGCAATTCACGAGATGGCGCGGCGTTAGCGCGTGCAATTAGAGTCGTTCCTGGTCATTCCGTACTCCGTAGGCGTCATCATGGTGCGTAGGTCACAGCGTTTCTGAGAGTGAAGCCGAGGAGTTTGTTTTGAATTGATAACGACGCGGATACATCAGCTCCTCGGTAGTGTTATGGTAACTTGCCCGGTCGCTGGGCTCGCCGAATTTGTCCTACGACACCACGGCGATGATGCGTCGCAGCAGTGGTGAGCATTGTCGTACAACCGTCTAGAGTCGGACTCTGAATCAGTGGTGTGCGTGCGTGTACGTGTGCGTGCGTATTGTGCGCGATGTCGTGGTGCTCGGAGAAGCACCATCACTTTGCGCGACGACTCAAGCGGAAATGGAAAGTCGTGTTCCTGCTGGTCGCATGTTGGTTCGCGCTGAGCGTGTCGTCGACCTATGCCGAGTCGAACGACAATACAGACCGCTGCCCAGTTGAATGCTCCTGCCTCGGCAACTTGGTCGCCTGCAACGAGTTGCAGCTGATCCAGGCGCCCAGCGGACTGCCACCGTGGACTGAGATCCTGTGAGTAAACGCTGTGACCTGCTGGCAGGATGGCGTTGATAGGATAGCGACTTTGGCTTTGTATATGACAAACGGCGTCTAGGTTTCTCCTGCGATGTCAGTCAGGTTTCATAAAGGATGAATCTTGTACACGGAGTACTTCCTTCCATTCATCGTTTTCAGGATGAAGATATATAATGCTTTGTTATACATGTTGAAAGAATTAGAAGATGATCTTACTGATTATAAGACCTGGTTTGTGTTATATGAGTTAACATAGATAAGATAAAAGAATTATAACAAAAATAAAATAATCACTGATATACTTTATGATAGCTATCAGTGATTTTTATAATTTATTTTTGTGCTTTTAAGATAGTTGAAGGATGGGAAAATAATATTTAGTGATAAATATTATAATATTGACAATTTAATATTTAAAGAAATCTATTTCTTGTCTTACCTATAATTTATTAAATAACAATATACATATATTAAAAATTAATTTAATTATTGAATTATCGAAACAATATTAAAACAGAAACTAAAATATGAATGTAATTTTTATTTTAAAATAATTTTTAAAACATTTTTATTTTAATAATTTCTAATAAAGTTGTAATTTTAATAAAATATGATAATTTATTAAAGATGTCGGTTAATAATCCATGTGTTTGTGTCTCAAATAAAAGTTCACAAGCAATGATTATTATGTAGCATTTTATTATTTATTGGATGATAACTGTTATTATACTATATTGTTTGAAAGTCAAATCGAGGGGGAATAATATTGGTTGTTATGACTGCATGTGGGTTGCTTGTCCCTTCACTAAATGGTCAGATTGATGAAACTGGCTCTATAGAAATAAATGGTCAGGTTTCTATAGCCATATAGGATGCTATGTGTGATGATTGACTGTTAAGTCCTTCAATGCTCAGAATCAAGGAGAGCAAGATCTAAATAGGGGAGAAGAATTCATGTCTAAGCATTCATGTCTATGCTATTTAAGGTATTAAGATATATAATTATATAACTACAACATTTCTGCTTTTTGAAAGGTGTGTCTAAATAAGAAGGTCTTAAGCAGAATATATTCTTTGTACAGAAATAATTTTGAAATAATTCTTATATATCTATATTTATGTTTCACATAATTTATCAGTATCATTATATAATGTTGAAATAGCTTAAGTTTATCAGATTATACATTAATGTTCGTAAATATTATTATATAATATCTTATAAGAAGTCTAAAGGCAGAGAACTATTATTTTATATTATATTTTAAGATAATATACAAGGTTTTCGTTAAGATTGAAACGAAATTTATACTGTTAATGAGTAGATTAAAAAAGTTCATATGAATTTAAATCTGAAAATGTTTCATTAAAGAGTCATTAATTTGCAAAGATTTATAAGCAGAATTATTTTTATAATTTGTTAGACAAAATTAAGACAAAAAAATTTAAGCAGTAAAATGTCAGAAGTAAGTAAATCAACATCTTGATTTTGCTTACGATATTATCTTACATTTCTTGTGATTGGTCGATTCGCTTACTCAGCTTACTGTTTATGTTTTACTACTTTTATTTTTTGTATAATCTGACTCAGAAATAAATGATTTTCAGTTATTGATTATATATCTTGATTCGTACAAACGGATTTTATAAATTATTACAATAGTTACAAGAGAAATTTTTTCCTTTTAAAAGAATGAATTCAATAATGAATTCAATATCATATATTCAAAATTAATTCTTAATTCTTCTGTTTTTATTAGTTTCTTATAAAGATACTTTTTAAAGTCAATACAGTTGAAAGTCAAGATATATAAACAATAACTGAGCGTCATTTTTTCTGAGTTAACAGCTCCGTCTATGGGTCCATCAGGATTCTGCTTGTGAATTTTTGAAGGTTTACAATTTTTCAATAAAGAATTTTTGGACATAAACTTATATGAACTTCTTTCACCTATTGGACTCCATGTTAACTTTTATTA